GTCAATTCCCCACCATCGGTAATGGCTCTCTGGGAGGCTGGTTTCAGATGGATTGTGAGTTTGAATCTGGACCCAGGAGAGGAATAAATGAGACCCCTCATTTTTGCATATGAGCAATTAATTTTCTGGTCCCTGCTGCAGAAGCTTAGACTATCCTTGTTCCTGTCCTTCTTGTTAGGGTTCCTTCATTGTCCAGGTCCTGACTCCATCTAGAACATTTACCAGCCCAGTTTGAGTATCTGGCATTTCTGATATACACACTGTCAGTATCCACTTATATAAACTGAGGTTTCTTTCAATGGGATGGGTGTGGTGGCTCACACCTGGTAATCTCAGCACTATGGGAGGCCGAGGCAGGAAGACTGTTTGCGCCCAGAGTTTGAGATGAGCCTGGGCAACAAAGCAAGACCTTGTCTCTACAAAAAATAAAAATAAAAATTGGCTGGGCATGGTGGCACACGCCTGTAGTCTCATCTACTCAGGAGACTGAAGTGGAAGGATCGCCTGAGTCCAGTAGGTCGAGGCTGCAGTGAGCTCATAGTGTCACTGCACTGTAGCCTTGGGTGACAGGGAAAGAGAGAAGGGGGGAGGTGGAGAGAGAAAGGAAAGAAAGGAAAGAAAGAAAAGAAAAAGAAATTGAGGAAAAATGTCAAATAGGACACAGCTGAGGCCCCAAGAAGTTAGGTCATCTGTGGAAAAACAGCCAAAACCTCGGACAATCTGACTTAGTAACGATTCCCCTGCAAGACTGCTGCCACCCCCAGGATGCATGGTAAGCAGACCCTTCAGCCAGACAGACACAAGCCCCCACCGGGTACACTGATTGACTCATGCAAACATCGTCCCACCCAAGACCCAGAAAGGCCAGCTTCCAGCATAGTCACACCCTGCTACCAGGAGGTACTCATCTGTACACGGGCATCCTAGTATCTACTTTCAGAGCTGCTATGAAGATCCACTGGCATATGTGAGTGCCTAGCTCAATGCCTGGCACAGAGAGGGCGCTTGATAAATGAGTACTATTGTACTACATTGCTGTTAGCTAGTTTTGCCAAGATTGAGTAGGCCAGAGCCTGGGTCGCCGCAAAGGCATTTCAAGAGTGGAGGAAACTGGATTCTGTTACCAGCAACCTCAGAGCCTATGGGAGCGAGACAAGGCCAGGCCTGGGGGAACCAGGGATACAGGTGAGTTGACCCGAGCCCAGCCCAGAGCCACAGGGTGCCCCTCCTGCTGGAAAGGCTGGTAAGCAGAGGGAAGGAGGCCTTAATAAACTCCTCAACATCCTCACCAAGCGCTCCCTGCTGAAGCCTGCGGCAGAAGCAACGAGATGCCACCTCAGGGTAGGGCTCTGAGCGTTTGGTCTGGGGCCCAGGCCAGATGGGGCTGAGCTGAGGAGCAGAACTGGGGCCCATGTGCCCAGCAAGCTGTGCCAGCCCAGCCCATGCCAGCCCAGCCAAATTTGAGTTATATCAGGAGAAGGGATATGTTCAGAAAACTCACCCATCTCTACGTATTTGCATATTCTATTTCAGGGTCTCTTCCTTTTTTTCCCTCAGCTTCCTAGAAAAGTTCTTGTGATCCCTTCCAACTTCACCTCTGCTGAACTGCAGAAGCTCAAGCCCATCTCCCGACTACTATCCTGTCTCCCCAGTGAGGGTCTCGGCCCTCCCTGCTGCCCCTGCCCCTGCCTGCTCAGACCTCAACCCTGCAGCCTGGTTCAGGTTCCTGGAACATCTCACCAAGGTCACCTTGGCTCCAGTCAGCAAGTCCAAGGTTAGCCCTTCTGTTACCAGGTCTGTCTGTGCATCTAACCCCACAGACCATGCCCTCTCCGTCCAGTGTCCTCCATGCCCTCAGCTTAGTGGCTCCTGCTCTCACGCCCCCACCCCAGAAGTGACTCATGTGCATCCATCACCATTTCCTATAAAACCCACCCCCTCAGCTAAGGGGATCCCTTTTCTTTCCCTTTCCCTGAAGAGTTACCTTCTCATGACACAGGCCCCGTCTTCAACTTAGAACTTCCTGATACCTCAGCCCAACAGTCCCTTATTCCGACACCGCTGGGATCCTGCCTGCCTCTCCCTCCCCTTCAGCCCAAGTTGTCCTTCACACCTCACAGCCCCCCTCCACCCAACTTCCCACTGCAGCCCCAGTTGAGGCCCACCATGTCCCATCTGGAGGATCCCACCAGCCGCCTTGCCAGCCGCCCACCCCATCTCACTTCCCACGAATCCAGCCTCCACACAGCTGTCAGATTATCTCCCATGTACCTGGCCCCCCACTGCCCAGCCTAAAGCCACCCCAGGGTTGCTCTGTGCCCCCCCGGATAAAGCCCCAGCTCCTCGGGCGAACCCAGCCCCATCATCTCCCATTCCACCACATTTCAGGCTGCGGGCAGCGGGAGAAAGGGCGCCAGCTTTGGAGTCAGATTTGAGTCTTCCGAACCACAGGACTGTGGACAGATAATGTCACTCCTCAGAACCCTGGTGTCGCCATCTGCTCAAAGGAGACAACAGTTCACTCACCTCTCCAAAGATCTGATGTTAGTTCTAACTCCTAAAGTCTCTCTCTCCCTATACCTCTCCCTCCCCACAGCCACGCTGCCAGGGCGGCCCACCATCAGATCTAAGTAGATGGCAGCACAACTTCCTCTCGGCTCCCTCTAGCTTGCCCGCCCCCACTCCTTCACTCAATATATCCCCCACACAGCAGCCAGAGCGACCTTTCTAAAATACAAGTCTGACTCTGCAGATTGTGACTCCCTCTGTCCTTAGGGCAAATCTAAACTCCTCACATGACTTGAGGTGAGCTAGCCCCTGCCTACCTGCCTGCCTTGCTATCTGCCCTGACAGACAGGGTGACAGGGGCCACACTTTCTCCCACTCCCAGCCTTCTCAACATGAACACCTTGCTGCCAAGTCTTCCTTACCTGCCAACTTCCCTTCCCTGGCACACATGCCCCAACCCCTAACCCAAGTTAGCGCCCCTTCCCATGGGACCCACAGCCCCTGGACCTGCCTGGCCGGCTCCCATCAGGCTCTAGTGTAAGCATGTTTGTTGTACCAACCACACAGCTCTGTGACAGTAAGGATGCCATCATGTTTACTGGCAGAGTACAGGCTCACTCAGTGACTGTTGCAAGGGTGAAAGGGACAGTGGTGAGGAAGGGGTCCTTAGCCCATGGAAAGTCCCAGGCTCCATGTGGGCACTTAACCAACTCCACACATACTATTGAAAACATGGCCACAGGAAGCAAAGCCAACTTGCCAAGCCCCTGGAGGAAAGAGCCAACAAAGGAGGGAAAGGGAAGCCGTGGGACGCCTGGATTCTGGGAAGTGGGGTACCTGGTATCAGGGGCTGGCCAGGGACAGGGCAGGGGGACTGAGTGTTCCACAGCGTGATGGAGCGGGGGAGCTCAGGAACCCCAGTGCCTCTGAAGGCCATCCCCGGGAAAAGAATGAGTAGCTGCAACACAGAAACCAACTCTGGGCAGGCTGTCTCATGGGGACAGGAAGGGCTGTGTCAGCCCCATCTGACCAACACAGGCCCATGAGGATGGGACCAGCCTTTGTTTCCACTACAAACAAGCAAGAGACACTGGGGTCAAAGACAGAGCTTTCTGGTCTTTGCTCCCAACCACAGGGAGGCAGCTGGGCTCCAAGCAGACTACTGAAGCACAGAGGCCTGGCCCCAAGAGGCCAGGAGGGTTCTAAATCTTTTCTGCCAGTACAAATACCACTCAGCATGAATCCTAGGACAGAGACAGAAATGCAGAGACTTCACAACATGCTGTTCAAGCCACATCTGGAACAGTGGTCCCTCTGAGTACCTCCTAAGCATGTTACTGATAGGCTGGAAGTCATCCAGAGAAAAGAGCAGGATGTACTTGGGACCAAAACCAGGACAGGTCAAGGGGAAAGTCAGTAACCCACCCAGCAGGTGACTTGTAAGTAACTGAAGCCCTGCTAATGTAGCAGATGGAAGAGGCTGATTCCAAGTGGTTCCTTTGGGCAGGAAAGCCACTAAGGGGCACAGGCTGTCCTAGTGGGAATCTTCTGTCCCAGGAGGAGATGCACAGAAGCTGAATGACCAGGGCTGGGAGTAGTGGGAAAGGAGCATCTGCCAAGGCAGTTCCTCAAGATCATCTCAAGTCACATAAGGAGTTTAGACTTGCCCTAAGGACAGAGCAGGCAGAGCCGGCCTCGGGGCTCCCTTCCATCTGTGTTAGCTCCCAAGTGAGCTGAAACACCACCTAAGGGGTGGAGGACTTTTCCTTACAAAGTAGGAACACGAAATCCACTTTCCCAACTTGGACATGCCTGCAACACCGCAGGGAACACCACAGGGAATGCCATCCCAGGGAGAGCGTGCACAGGCAGATGGTGCCCCCTCTTCAACAGCAAAGCTGAGCCCTGTTCGTGCTGGTGTTGTTTACTATTGCTTTTTAGCTGCTCTTGTAGTTATGCCTTCAGGACAGAGACAAGGGCCCTGTCTCCTGGCACAGTTCTGAGGTCTGAATTCTGGCATCATCACAGAACAGGCATCAAGGAATGCATGGTAAGAGTAGACCAGGCAGGAACAAGGAAACCTTGGGAGAGGGAGCAATGTGGAAGACAAGCTGCCTCCAGTGGTTCCCCCTGAAAGTCTACCTGGCCACTCCCTAGACTGGACACCTCAGAAGCGCGAGCCTCTTCTGGCCATAGCTGTAGCCCAGCAGCCACCCTGAGGATTGGATGGAAGCCCTGCTCCAGCCTTGGGCATGGCCTGAGGCGGCCATCCCAAAGCACCAGAGAGTCTGGGAGCTACTGCTGGAAGCTTCTTCCAAGGGTGAAAACAGGTATCACACAGCCTCCCATGACGTGGGTCTAAACGCCCCCTTGCAGGGCCCAGACCCAGGGGCCAGCCCTGCTCCCTGATGCCAAGGACCCACATGCCTCGTCTATCCCTCTGCCTCCCCCAGCTCTTATCAGCCAGGAAGGCCAAGCACTGAACACAGCAGGCGAGTTGACCATCAGGTGTATTGGGAAGGGAGAGACAGAGGCATCACCACAAGTGCCTCCCACAGGAGGCAGCCTCTCAGCTGCGGGGGGTCAGGAGGAGCAGGGACCTCATGGGGCTCCTCCAGCAAAGATGAGCTCCAGGGCCGCCTGGATGTCCCCGCCAGTGGCCTGCAGGGCACGCAGGCTCAACTCATCGTCCTGGATGCCCATGTCGCGCAGCTGCTGCAGCTGGGGCTGCCACTGGCTCTGTGGAGAGACAGAGCAGATAGAGTTGTTAGCCAGGGTCCTGCTGAAAACACAGAAGGCCATGCTGTCAGGGGAGGGAAGGGGACGGAGTCCTGCAGCCTAGCTCTGGTGCTAAGTTCCACAGAACATGGGCCTCCATGGAGACTGAAAGGCAGGCTTGGGGGTTAAGAGAACAAACTCAAAGTTTCATAATCAAAAAGGAAACTCTTGGCTTAAGGATAAAAAGAGAAAAGCACAAATTACTCAGGATCTAAATTTCAAAAGACTAAATTACTTTCTTTCTCCTGCTATATGTATACATGCACACGAAAATAAATGGAGGGAGAAGGATCAATTTTAAAAGTAGTTTGTTGTTTTAACACGATATATAATGAAGTCTATTCTCATCCCTTCCTGCCCCCTTCCCAGATAACCAGTTCTCTTTTCTTTGAGGAAATATGCATATTCCTCTATTTACCCTCTTCTTATACAATCTTCTGTTACCTTCTTCTGTTCTACAATCACCCCACCCCATCCCTTTTTTTAAATAAAATCAACCTATCCTGGCAATCTCCCCTTGCCAGTGCATAAAGAATATTTAACTAGTTCTATAATATTCCAATCCATGGATGCCCTGAAATGTACTGGGCTGTTTCCAATCTCTTGCCATTACAAACAACGCTGCCACAACTGACTGTACAAATGTCACTTTATACACGCACATACATCTCCAGGATAAATTCCTAGAAAAGGACTGCCAGGAATGACACAGGTTTAAGGGCCATCTGTATTTCCTTTTCAGAGAACAGTGTGTTTATATCCTTTGCCCGTGTTTCTATGAGGTTCATGGTCTTACATTTCTGGAACCTCTACATATCAGAGATGTTTGCCCTTTTTTTTCCTTTGAGTTGGAGTCTCACTCTGTCACCCAGGCTGGAGTGCAATGTCACAGCCACCACAGCCTCAACCTGTTGGGCTCAGGCAATCCTTCTGCCTCAGCCTTCCAAGTAGCTGGAACTACAGGAGCACTACCACACCTGGTTAATTTTTTGATTTGTTGTAGAGAAGAGGTCTCACCAAATTGCCCAGGCCGGGCTCGGTGGCTCAGCCTGTAATCCCAGCACTTTAGGAGGCTGAGGCAAGTGGATTCCTGAGCCCGTGAGTTCAAGACCCACCTGGGTAACTTGGCGAGACCTCGTCTCTACAATAAATCAAAAATTAGCCAGGGGTGGTAGCACATGCCTATAGTTCCAGCTACTTGGAAGGCTGAGGCGAAAGGATCGCAGGAGCCCAGCAGGTCAAGGCTGTGGTGGCTGGGAGAGTGCCACTGCACTCCAGTCTGGGCGACAGAGACTCCAACTCAAAAAAAAAAAAAAAAAAAGAAAGAAATTAATTCATCTAAATTTTCTTCTAACACTAAAAATATTTTTAAATTTTTAAATTTTTGTAGTGATGGAGTCTTGCTATGTTGCCCAGGCTGGTCTCACACTCCTGGGCTCAAGTGATCCTCCTGCCTCGGTCTCCCAAAGTGCTGGGATTACAAGCATGAGCCACTGTGCCCAGTTCCTTCTAACACTTTCGTAGTTTCACCAATATCCCTATTTCATGACAGGTGATAAGTACGCAACTTATGGAAAACACTGTGTTCACATGTGGGAAGGAGAAGGCCACACGAAGAAGAACTGCAAACTCAGAGGTAGGCAGAGGTAAGAATGTGGAGGCCACATAAAATCAAATCAGTGTCATGTCAGAGGCCAGGGGGAGCCCGGAACAGCTCCTGAGTTGGGGAAGATGGAGAATGGAGAAGCCAAGTTGTCCACGTGTCCTGCTCCTGTTCCCCTCACTGTCCACAAGGGCCACATGGAGTAGTGTGAACCCTGTCTTTACCCTTCACAGCTTTATGATCCTGGATAAACTCGAGGATGATATCCCACAGGCCTACTGTGAGGAGTGAAGGAAACAGACCTGAGGCAAACAGCTCGTGCACAGAGCCATGCAGTAAACACTGGTCCCTTAGGTCTTCCATTTAGCTGCCAGGGTGACCTTTCCCCTCCTTAAAGCTTCCCATGGCTCCCTGGTGATGCTAGATCAAGTCTAATCTCCCTAGGTTGGCAATCAAGGCCCCTCACATGCAGGCTCCTGCTCTCTTTCTCTGGCTCCATCTCCAATCCTCTACGCTGGGACACTGTGCTCTAGTCTTTGCCTGTCACATACACCTCCACTCTCTGCTCAAACAATAGTGGCCTCCGGCTAGAAATCTTCCCCTCTCTACCTCAAGCATCCTGCCCTTTCTTCTCTGCCTGGCTAACCTCTAACTAATGCTTTGACAATCATCCTAAATACCCTTTCCTCAGAAAAGTGTTGCCTGGCCTAGGACCTTACCTCCAGGCTTCTCACCTTGCCGCTCCCTGGCTCAGTACCTGCCTAGTCCCCATCTATGGCAGCGATAAGGACTGGTCAACCTCCAACCCTCACGCCTGGGCCCAGGTCTGGCATAAAGACACTCAATGTCAGTAGATGCTCACTGATAGTTTGACTAAAACTGCCATGATTATCCAAGCCAGGCGGTTGGGAGCCAAGCCATGGTCACTAGGAACAGGAGGAGAAGCTACAGGGCCACACTGAGAGTGTCCTTGCTGGGGACATTTCTCGTCCATCATGATGCCATGCTGCAGCTGCCCCTAGAGTGAAGCACGTCAAGTGGGAAGACCTCTCAGGGAGCAAAGGATGGCTCGGCATCCAAAGTCACAAGGAAGCATGTGGTCACCTGGACAGAGAGACTGACCTGAAGGCTAGGCTGCCCAGAGGCCTGCAGGGCATGCTGCAGGGCTTGGCTGAAGAGATCGTTGGTGATGGGCGTCCCAGACTGGACACCAGAGGACATTGGTGAGGTCCCTGAGGAATGGCCCTAGAGACAAATCAGTGGTCAGTGCTCCCCTCAGAGCCTTATCACCCTTGTAGTGGATGCCCACTGCTATCACACCACCCCACAGTGCTCCTGGGGTGCCCAACATCTATCTGCCTCCCAATAGGGGCCTGCCATGAGACAACGACACAAAGGCACCTCCTGTGGGCAGGAGAGGTTCCATTATCTTCTGCTATGACCCTGATCCAGTTCAGGATCCCAGAATTGGGAGAGATCGCCTTGAAAGCTGAAGTGACTTGTCAACAGAAATGCTTAAGCTGGTGACATCTAATCAATCAGGATTGTGCTAAACTCCGAACTTCTGATCCCTAAAGAAAGAGATCACTCCATCCGTAGTAAGAAATGCCCACCAGGGTCCAAGGGTTTAGCTCTAACCAGACCTAGTACCAGGGTCAGCAAAGGCCAATCTACTCTACCACTGGGGAACATGTCTCTCAGGGGCCCAGCCTTGACCCTCCCAGCCCTCCCTCCATACCTGGGTGCCAGGAGTTGGTGTGTGAGAGCTGCTCTCCGGAGTACTGGCCAGGGCCAGGGCGGTGGCCAGCTCACTCTGCGTGATGGGCCGGGGGCCAGCAGCCCCACTGTACCCCAGGGAGGCTGGGCGGGAGCTGGGGGTGCTGCTGGAGGGCGTGGACCGGGTGCTCTGGAGAAGGAGGCACCCAGAATCAGGGAAGCAGCATTATGAAGCACCCAGGTGAACCCCACCCCATTCCAGGAACAGCGCTCAAGAAAGACTAAGACCCCAGGTTTCAGAAAACAATCCAGAAAAAGGAACAGCATGACATGGTCTTGGCCTCCCGGGGTCTGGGACCACCTCCCAGTCGTGGGCGTGCCAGGTTCCAGGCAGTGGCTCATTCACAGCCAGGAATCTCGCCCAGTGGCAGGCAGGTCACTTACTGGGTGAAAATCGTCCTCATCATCTGAGAGCCCTTCAAACAGGAAGCCACCTGGAGGAGGGAGAACAGATTTCAGGAGGAAGAACAGAAAGGCACAGGCGCAGCTCCAGAATCTCAGCTCCAGTTACTCTCCAAATTCATATTTTCATCTCTCCCCTCGGAAAATTACAGGACAGATGCACTTCCTGACTCAAACCGAGAGTTCCCAAGGAACGCCCTCTGCCAGCGCTATACATAGCTGCTGAGTAAAGCAAATTCCTGGGTCACTGCCGGCTCCTAAGGGGCCCACGTTACGCTTTTTTCAGGGCCCCACCTGGCATATCCCGGTACGAGCTGGAGGGCATGCTCCGGGAAGAGGAGTCGGCTCCCGGCATCGGGGCACTGCCTGCCACCGAGTGCAGAACCAGGACGATGGCATTGACCAGGGCCGGGTGGGCAGGCACCAACCTAGGAAAGAGCAAGGAGAAATCCAAGGGTGACCACAAAGCAAAGAGCACCCTTGGCCCTGAGAGGAGTTTTGGGTGCCCCTCACAACCATGGAGCCACCTGGGCCTGCCCTTAAATTCCTATCTCTAGCATCTCCCACCAGAAGCTTTATCTTCCTACTACTCATCTGCCCCAGAGGCCTTTAGTTCCTGGGATTCACTGCAGATTCTTCATCCTCAGGCAAGGCATGATGGAAAGGCCTGGTAGACTCAGGGACTGGCCTTCGGTCTAGGTGCCATCACTACTACACTGGGCAACCTTGGAGAGGTCCCTTTTCTTCCCAGAGCAAGGCTGTTTTCTTCATTTGCAAAATAAGGGGAAATGTCCCTTCCAGCTTTAACATTTCCCAGATCTATATACCTGCTTCTCCTTTCCCCAGCTTAAAATCCTTCCAAGGCTCCCTATCTACTAAATGAAGTCTAAACTAAGCCTAACAGCAAAGCCCCCTCCCATCCTGCTTCCCCGACACTCTTTTTTTTTTTTTTTTTGAGTTGGAGTCTCACTCTGTAGCCCAGACTGGAGTGCAATGGCCGCTCCCGGCCACCGCAGCCTCGACTTGCTGGGCTCTGGTGATCCTTCCACCTCAGCCTTCCAAGTAGCCGGAATTACAGGCATCGCTACCACGCCCGGCTGATTTTTTTATTTACTGTAGAGATGAGGTCTCGCTGCCCAGGCGGGTCTCGAACCTGCGAGCTCAGGCAATCCACTTACCTCAGCCTCCCAAAGGCGTGGGATTACAGGCTGAGCCACCTAGCCCGGCTCCAACACTCTTTTTAAATTTATTATTATTTATTTATTTAGGTAGAGACAAGGTCTTGTTACGTTGCCCAGGCTGGTCTTGAACTCCTGGTCTCAAGTGATCTTCCTGCCTCAGCCTCCCAAAGTGCTGGGATTACAGGCATGAGCCATCACACCTGGCTCCCCCAATGCTCTTGATATGCCTGGCCCTTTGGGTTTTACTGTTCCCCAAGTGGCTCTTGCTCTTCCTCAATTCCTGACATACTTAGAAGGTGACCTGGTGATAGGCTGGGGATGGGCTCCCAGAGCGATTTCAGGGAGACAATTAGGCTTCTGACCTGACCACACAAGGAGAGAGAAGGTACTCTCCAATATGCCAGTTACACTTACGTGTCAAGCATACTGGGATCAGCAAAGACAGAGAAGAGGTCCTTGTCCTGGAGAACCCCTGAAAGAGACCAGGGCTCACATCAGGGAACAGAAATCTAGCCAGATTCAGGAGGGAGAGGTCTCAGAGCAACTGGCTCAACAGAGACATGGGACCAGCCTCATGAGAAGTAAACAAAACACCCAACGGCACAACCATATTTATCCCATGAGGTCAGTATCAAAAGATATCATATCATTATTAAAGGGAACCAGCAATGCCTGACTGAGACAGGCTCTTTGGGAAAAGATGAGCAGGCCCCATCTTGCTCTGGTGGGGATACTCCCATGCCCTCCACCTCCCCCTTGCACATAAACTCCATCTTGAGTATCAATGTGCTAGTCTCTCCTCCCATGGCTCTTGATATCCATCAAGGTGTGCAGGACGTCTACCCTGACTTCTGGGATTTGGCTAACTGCTGCCCTCACTTGACTCCTCACAGCCTCACTTAGGATGCCAGGTAAGTCATTATCACTCTGCAGGACTGAGAGCTCTAAGAGGGCTAGGTATCCCAAACATGTCTCAATTACTTTCCCTCTTCCCACAAGATCAGAGTCTTCAAAAGATAGTCAAAGTCTCTTTAGGGTAATTGCCCTCTCCTGGCTTCACTTTTTGCAACAACTCCAATTTCCTGAAATTCACCTCTGCACTTACCGAGAGCGATGGGGTCACTGCTGAGGCCTGGGGTGGCCACAATAATCTGATCCAGAGATTCCTTATTGCTGAGCATCTTAAAGACCTGCAGAAGAGACGGGGAGGGCTAGGTACTCCAACTGGCCCAAGGCATGCATCAAATAGCCACTCTTTGCTAAGGGCTTCCTCCCTCTAAGTGCTCGTACAGATCCCATCATAATGGAGTAATAGCCTAGAAACTGATGAACTCTTTTGGCTCTGAGAAGGGAGCTTGCTGGAGGGGAAACAATTTTTTTAAGAAAGCAAGACCACAGTAAAGCTTCAATCTCTGTGGTCCTTTCCCCCACCTACAGTTCTATACTTCCAAAATAAAAGCTCTCACTACAAGCCCAATAGCAAAGGGTTCTCTAGGTCCCAAAAGTCCTTTTAAATCTCTGTACAATTACTGTTTCACATTCATATATATTGGGAAGCTCACGGTCATACTAATTTTGCCTATCAATTCTCCTACAGAAAGACACCAGCCCATTTCCCCAGTGAGGACATCTAGGTCATGTGTGGTGGGCCAGCAGTTCAACCAAAGGCAAAGAATGAGGCCCAGCAGAAACACCATGTGGATCCTTTGGCCATCACCATATTCATTCCATGAGATTAGTATCAAAAGATGTCATATCATTATTAGAGGGAAGCAGCAATGCCTGACTGAAACAGGCTCTTTGGGGAAAGACTGGGCTCTTCGGAGGGCCCCAGACATGGCAAAGAATCCCCAAGGAACTCTCAGTTACCAAGGCAACAGGCTTCCAGCTCCCACTCGACACCACTCGCCAGTGTTCACACCCTCTCCTGCAGGCCTGGTTGGGGCCACCACGCACACTCACCGCCTCTCTGTAAGAGGAGCTGCTGTGCAGGGCGGTGTGCAACACCCGGAACTCTCTCATGGCAGCCACTTTGTCCACAGGTTCTGAGAGACAAGACACTCAGAGTTACCACCAGCCTAGGTCCTGGCCCTGCCACAGATGTGGTAGCATCATTTCAGCCTGTGTCCAGGTGCAGCCTGGTCTGTGTGTTCCCTTCCCTCATCACCCTAAGTGTGTGAGTGCCTGTTCAGAAAAAGCCCTTTGTGCCTTTGGCTTAACTCTCTTGTAAGCATCTTCAGCAGATAAAACAAACAAATTCAAATTCCATCAGAGGGGAATCATCCCATGTGATCAACATCCCACTGCGAGAGTTCCAGACTTCTTACACTTGAAAAAGAAAATTAAAATCAACTCATGAGATGGTTACACAGTGATTTAAAATAAGTGTGCTGCAGGCCACCTTAATATGGAACTATGCTGACACAATATGTTAAGAGAAAGAATAGAACACAAATTGTATATGTATTCTCTCATTTAAAAAACTATGTTTTACTTGGCTACCCTGCTATTTAAAGTATCAGTCCATTTCATAGTGAAGAAATCTGGGTAGCAGGAAAAGTAAAGTTCATGCTGGGTCACACTTTTGGAAGTGTGGTTATCCTCAGCAAGGACTGCTACCTGTGACTGTATAGGCTGTGTACTGCCCAACTCCAGGGACACCGCTCTCAATGCAAGATGAGGACACCCCTGGTACCTATAGACCTGATCATATTTTTTAAAGTATTTATTTTAAGTAAGTTGCCTAATTTATTCATTCAACAAACACATACTGAGCATTGACTCCATGCCTGGCTTTGGGCAAGGAAGAAGAATACAAAAAATAAGAATCCCTGCCATCATGGAACTCTTAGGTCAGTGGGAAAAATGAGACTAGATCAAACACACAATTACAAACACCACGCTGAGGACCTCGGCAGAGATGTGGATCCCAGCTGGGGCACTAGGAACAGAGAGGCAGACAGTGCTCCTGAGAGGGAAGGCAAGGACACAGAACCATTTAAGAGAGGGTTCAAAGACAGAGCGGATGTCTGCTGGGGGAGAAGGGATTCCGGGCCTAAGAGAGAACATGTGCAAAGAATAAAAGAATGTGGCGCTCTGAAGGAACAGCAAGTCGTTTTGTGGCTAGAACTCAGGGTATACCTCCCTGCTCAAATAGCAGGCTAAGGTGAGGTCCTGAGAGGCTTTGTAACCCTCCATGGGGAACCCCAAGGGGGATCCAGGTGGGAAGGGGCAAACTAACAGGTTCTCCTTCTACAGGCTCAAATCTAGGGGGAGAACAAGAAATGTGCTTCCTTTTGAAGCAAAGCACTCAATGAGCAAATGTCTCAAACACTGCCACAAAACAACTTCTTCACAGATCTAAAAGTTTGTTTTCACCTCCCAATAAAAAACTGATTTGTAGCCAGGCTCGGTGGCTCAGCCTGTAATCTCGCGCCTTTGGGAGGCTGAGGTGAGTG